GCGATTGTAAGAATTAAGACACCCGTTATGTCGGTGTAGAAAGTATTACATGATTTAAATTACATATCCTCGGCAAAGTTAGCGTCATATATTATCAAATCTACCGCACGATGCAATCGCGAATTAATATTGTCTACATATATTAACCTGTTAACTGTGCTCCTCTTTGAAACAGAAATTGAATCCCTCTAGTTTATAATTAAAAACGAGCGAGAATTACAGCCAATTACTTTCTTCTCGTTCTTGCAAATGTGAGTACGGTGTAGTTTACGTTCAGTACGAATAATGAAAATAAAAACTGAATAATCCCTCGATAAATAAATGACACAGTTAAAAGGTTAAAAAGCAGCTATTATAAACTGCCGTCTGTAATTATTAGGACACCCGTTATGTCGGTGTAGAAAGTATTGCATGATTTAAATTGCATTTCCTCCGCAAAGTTAATGTCGTATATTAGTAAAAATATGTGTAGGTGCTCGTTGTACTCGGAGGTTCTAGAACGATTGATCGTTTTTTAGGATCTTCATAATTTTTTAGCGACTCTCGTGTGTTAATTTAATGTTGAACTTGTAACGACAACGAGGCTTGCTTCACGTTCACTAATTTTAGTAGATTTCAGTACACGTCTAGAGAATTTGGCAGATTTGAGTAATTTTAGTAAAATTCGGTAGATTTCAACGAATAACTGCTAAATTTAAATAGAATTCAGTAGATTTCGGTAAATTTTGCTAGATCTTGGTAGATTTCAGCGCAGTTCCGTAAACTTAAACATACTCCGATAAATTTCGTTACACATTCAGCGAGCACTCCAACACTCATAAACAAGTACTTGAACATAAAACGAGAAGAAAAAACTTAGCTAAAGGTTAGTCAGTCCATCAGACTGAATTGAATCGAAGCAAATGTCTCCCTTCCCTATCGAACAGATCTAGATAGAACGTATCTACCATGTTACTACTAAATATACCTAACTCACAAAGTGCACGCTTGCAAAAGATTTGACATTTTAAGCTTCGTTTATTCCGAGCAAGCGTTTCGATCAAAGGTGGGCATATCACCCGGCGTCGAGCTGAAATTGAAAAAAATTGGGCAGATAAAAGAGACACACAGATCACGGAGCGTTCCTCGTTCGAAACGAGTAAACGCGGTTGAACTTGTCAGGGTGAAAATGTCAGGCGTTTACCACGGGGATCGCCGTGGATTTCTCTCACCTTTCACGGGTCTTTCGAACACCGCGTAATAAATATCCCATTCGTGACAGGCTCCGCGGTACGGGCGAGAACACGGGAACCTCTCTTATCGATTCGTATCGAAAACCACGTTGCCTCGTCGGGAGAGCTTAACAGCCGGGGCGATAATTCGTCCACCTCTGGGCCACGAACACCGAGGAGGACCAAGGAAACGTCGCGACACCGAGAGTAGAATACAAAAAGGCGCTCGATGATCGAGGCCAACTTCGGAGCAGCGAATCGTCGCAGATAAAAAGAAACGTACAAGTAAACCAATCACGTTTCACGAGCTTATCAATTCCCGGTGGACACACACGATGTACATACGTATGTACCTTACGTAAGCTCGTGAAATTTGATCGTGAAGGTTGTTAAACGCTTCGGTTTCAAGCCCTTGACTTTAATAAACGCTAGCTTGCCTCGCTCGAACGTTATCCAAGAAGAGATCTCTCACCTTTGTTGTCGCAGACGTCGCAGAGTACCATCTCCGTGGGGAACAGGCTCGCGTGCGCATCCGACCGCGTGATCACGTCTGTACTGAACAACTTGGCACGCCCGGAGGACGTAGCTCGTCGGCACGTCGACGACAGGCCGGAACGGGACGAAGAGGAAGAAGACGACGAGGAACGGGAGAGCAGCGGTATCGACCAAGTTCGATAATGTGTGACCGGGCTCTCTCTCGTCTCGTGGTCGGCCGAAGGAAGAGAAGAGAGGAGAGGATAACACGCGTGTGGTGTCCACCGACGTAGAGGAGAGGACAGATACGGGGAATCAGGGTGGGGAAAAAAGGGTAATTTTTAGGCGAGCATCGCGTAACCGCAGGAGATACTTGAAGATGGAGAAGAAGGAGGGACGAGGAGGGACAGGGGTGGGAGAAGGAATAGGAGGAAGGACGAGGGATCGATGGACGAATGGAACTCGCGGCGCGAGTTGACCGGTTCTCGATCGGTGTTGAAAAGTGTTGGCGGTTTGACAGCTAGATTTGCACTGAAGAGCAACATCGGCCCATACGCTCTGGACTCACGGGGGCCACGATGGGTCTGCGGGTTGGCAATGGAGGGGCGAGAGGGGAAGGGAAGGCTGTGTTTCATTGTACGCACACCATGGTGGCCCATGGTGGGGCAGGAAGGACGCCAGATCAATATTAGGGCGTAGACTCAAGGGCAAGGGCCGTCACCGCCTCTACTTGTATATATATGTATGTAATACATAGGATGCCATGCGTGCGCGTTTGTCCATCATGCGGTTTTACGAAGCCTGTGCGAGAGAGCATCGTTTCGAGTGCATCGCCACGATGCATCATCATCGACGAACACGGATCGATCGATCGTTCGTACGTAGAATCCTTATCGAGCTCGCGGCCTATTGTTCTCTGAAGTTATCCGCGCTCGTCCGGTCGTCGATCGCCTCGAGGAGGATTTGTAATTTATCCACGCCGATCGACGGTGGTCGCCGGTTTTTGCATTCCGTTTCTTTTGCGCTTGACGAACACGTCTTGAATGATCCAACGAAGGATTTTACGAAACACGGTCGCTCGCACGCGCGTGAAGGAATGGAATAGAGGAAAAATTCTCCTTGAGAATCGGGCAGAGTTAGGGCGATTATTCCACACGATTCACTCCCCGGAGGATGGATATTTCATAAACGTTTATCGGCCCTCACGTTCCTCGCCGATCCGTGACGCAACACGAAATATGCGCAACACCTCGGGAACGTTCAGCATACATTTTTACGTAATCATTTTTATAAATCTTCGCTCGCCGTAACGAAGGTAAAACGATATAGTGCAACGAGAGTATTCGGAAAGCTGACGAGACGGTATCGAATCAATTGCGCTTCGATATAAACATATACACGTACACTGTGTATCAATTCGTGTTACATTGGTTACTTATGAAATTTCGTTGCAGACGTAACGCGCGCAAGAAGTCTCTTTCGACTCGATCGAACGACGCGCGATATTGAAATGTTGGAAAAAAGTGCTAAACGCGAATCACGCGAGAAAGATATATATATTTTACTCGTATATCTGGTAATAACGCGACGACGTTATCGGATCTACCGTACGCCGCGAATATATCATTCGAAACTCTGAACGAAGAAACCCCCGGTGTAGAAGCTCAGTCCTCCTCTCACGATTCGTTCCTTTTCCTAAAGACGTGTCTCACGTTCACCAGTCTCTCCCTTTTTCCCTTCGCCCTCGTTCGAGGTTTTACGAGTTGCGATAAAGCATTTTCGAGCAGCCGTTCCGAGCCAAAGGGAGAACCTTTTTTCCTCCAGCTATCGGCGGTGTATGACGTTACACGCGTGCGTAAGCGGAGATAGAGTAAATCCACGTATAAAGAAGATAACCGATAGATAAGAATTCCCAGTGCAACGAGAGAAAGAAAGAGAGGAAAGGAGTAAAGGAGCATTGGTCGATTACCGTGGAAGACTTTCATCGCGGAATCAAGGTAAATGGTCTGTGTACGATCGACGATGGAGGAGAAATTAGATACTCGACGGGAGTCGTGGCGTGAGAATCAAGAAAATCACCTCTAATCGCGAGCAAAACGATCTAACAGCATACCAGAAGCAACGCGCGTGCAGTATCACGGTTAAATTGGACGTTAGGTAAAGTTGGAATTACCAATCGAAAGTGTGTGTACGTAGTTTACCTGCTTCGAGGCGAATTACAGGAAGGACTTTTCGAGCGACTGGAAACGATCTCGTTCAATAAACTGGAGCAACTTTAGAAAGCTCGTTTGATCGTGGCCGATCCTCCGCGTTGCACGAAAGCATTCGTGCAGCGTTACAAAACGAAGGAGACTATAACGTGTCTGTTCCTCCTAGCTAAATCCATATGTTGGGACATATGTTGTTAGGGACACGTTACCCTGACCTGCTGCACTAGCAACACGGGAGAGAAAGCCGAGACCTCTGAAGGACTAAAAATAGGGGTGCCCCAGGGCTAAGGGATTAATGGCCACCGTCGGTTGTAATTTTAAACACCTCGGCAAACGTTGCTAATCCAATCTGCCGGCTTATAAAACGCACCCTTTAACCAGCAGCCAGGAGGACCTAGCAACATGCTATGGGGAAAAGGGGGGTTTATCGAAATGGCCAGCAGATATTTCAATAAATCTCACTTAACGCCGCTGTCACGGGTTCGTGTGCGTTGATCTTTATTATACACGAACTCACGCGAACGTGCCTCCACAATACGAAACACGGACAATAAGAAGTACGTAGAATTTGGTCGAGGTGAACGAACTTTTCATTAGAGTTCTCGTCGAGATTGTTTCGTGATTTCGAGCGGTGATTTTTGCTTCGGTTTTCTTAATCTGAGAATCTTTCGTTTGCCATCGACGATATATTCTTTTTGACCCTTTGCACTCGAAGAACTCTTCCAGGCACAGACGATAGACTGTTCGTTAGAGTTCTCTTCGAGATTGTTTCGTGATTTCGAGCGGTGATTTTTGCTTCGATTTTTTTAATCTGAGAATCTTTGGTTTACCATGGACGATACATTCTCTCTCTAATAATATTTAACCCTTTAACCCTTGGGCAATGTTGGACGTTGCACTCGAACAGTAAAAATAAGGAACGTAAAAAAATATCGTCTCTTGAATCTCACTTATATTTCCTTTCAAATAAATAATTCATCACACATGCGTATGAAGCTGCAAAAAGTCCAAGTTACTGCAAGATTTACACAAGAAAAAGTCCGAGGTGCAAAGGGTTAAACGTATCTCCATCGTAGACAATGAACAAACATCGACCGAGACTCACCTTTGCGACTGTCCTCGCTGTCCGAGTGAAGTTCGACGTCGTGCAGCCTCATAGATTGCACGAATCCTCTCCAATGGCTCCGTGATCTTCTTCTCTCGTGCAGATCGGTCTTCAAATCAGCCAGTTGCTGATCAGATTCCTTGAGCAATCCGTCCAGGATATCCGGTCTGTCGAGCTCCTTCGTTTTCGTCTTGGATTCGATCGCCGTTGTACCGTCTAACTTGGAACGGTTGCCGTGATTGGACGACGTTTCAATCCCCTTCTCTACGATCTCCACGGTTCTCAAGCTCTGTTGATTGTCGTTCTTTCTAGCGTCGTCGCTTGCCGTTCCATTCGCGTCACCGCCGCCTCTGTTCTTCGATTCCCTTCGTTTCCGTGCCGGAGGCTGCGGGCGTGCGTCCTCTAACGTCGCCGCCACATTTTTTCCTTTCTCCGATTGTTTAGCCTCCACGGTGTTCTTTTGCGTGCACGCCTTGCCCGACACCCTGCTGTTCACGTCTTTACCCGGTTTCACGTGCGGGACATTCCTCGGATTGTTGTACCGATCTTTCACAGACTCCCGGTTGCTCCTGGAAGCCTCCAACAGCTTCTGAGCGAGTAATCTCGTTTTATTAATTTCCGTACCGGCTCTCCTCTCGTGCTCGCTCCTCTTCTCCAGTTTCTTCTCGTTGGAGTATTTCACCATCGCCCTGGGCGAGCTGTCCGGCGTTTGGAACATCTGCTGTATCTTGATGATATCCGATCGAATCTTCGCCGAACTCGAGATCTCCGTTTTCTTAGCGACCGACGACCTTATCTCGTTCCTGGTCGCGACTCTGGGACACCTTTGAGCTGGTGGAGTGTTTCTCAGTCTCTCTAGATCCTTCAAATCGGCGAGCATAGAGCTGGGTGCTCTGACAGATCTACTCGAACCGTCGATAGCTATAGTTCTCGGTCGATCTTTCTCCGTTCGACCGATTTTCTCCATCGGTATCAGCGCAGGATCGACGAACACGGTGTCTCGTATCTGACTGATGTTCCGTAGCCTTGGTGCGCCAACCTTGAGACCAGTTGTTCTCATAATAACCTTCTCCATGGACACGATGTCCCTTTCCCGGGCCAAACGTCTTTCATCGATCAATTTGGCTCGATGAACGTCGATTGCTGACACAAACGGACCGTGATACACCGGGCTATTAACCGAGGAAGCTGCTCGTGAATTGGACACAGGATTGGTTGGCCTACTGGTTCTCAGCGGTGACATCCTGACTAGCCTGGGTGCATCCCTGGGATCGTCGGTTTGTAAACTGCCTCTGTACACCATCTTTCCCCCCCACTGGTTCCACTTCTCCGCTGGGTCCAGCTACCGCGATCCACTTTTTGCGATCATTGGAAAGTCATCCTCGCGTACGTGTCTCCATCCTGGGAAAACGGAGATTGAGAATTTATTAAACGAGGTCTGGTTTGGTTGTTGCCGGTGGTAGCGTGTATTTTATTTTACTCGAAGGTGTATTTAAAGCGGCCAGACACACGAAGACTTAGATCACCGTCTTCCGTTTCCTCTGACGGAAGAGGGGGGATAACTGTTGAGCTACGTGGATCTTCCAATTCGTTCTTTTGTCGCATGGTTTCACGTGAACGTGAACAATGCGAGTGGAATGAAATGTCGATCGTCATTGGGAATTTCCTGATTTTTTTAACGATTAAGGGGTATTTTGGCCAAATTGGATAAATTGTATGAGATACGAGGGTTTGAATGACAGAAAACACAGTTTCCTCGAAACAAAATTTTCCAACACTATCTCATGGTTTTCTCGTAAACTATCAAACTAAGTGCTTTCTCTATCGACGTAACTCTTTTTAGCGCTCGAAATTCACGAAAACTCCAAAAAAAAAAAACGTATTTTTTATTCAACTGATTACCATTTCGTAGAAAAATTTCTTAAATTTACGATCACGAAGGGGACAATAGCGATACTCTTAAGAAACAAAGAAACGCTTAGCTCAATCTGCCTTGGAACAGATCAGCGAGAATATTCGCACACCGCGGCATATAACTCTGCACACCATAAACATTTAAATTCCCCACGACTAACTTTCCACAGTCAAAAACAGTGACTAAACTTACACACAAAACCCCACTACCGTAACTTCTCATATCCCTTAATAAAAAAAAAAAAAAAAAAGAATCCTGAAATCGACTTAAAAATCTACCGTCAAAAGTCCTCTATCGATCGCTCAATTCCCAATGTAAATCAACGAAGCGATCGTTTATTACTCTCCCCGTGTATCCGTGTGCGTATGTGGGTCCGAGGATTTTCTACGCGATTAATTCTCGCGTAACCGTTAATCGACGTAAATTACAATCGAGTGAGTCGGTTATTCGCGACGAAGGCTCGGAAATCGGGTGGGTGTGATCCATGTAGGCAGTGACCCGGCCATCTTGCGACACGTATAACATCGGCATGTAGGTGTCGCGCGCTAATAAGACACAGTCCCCGGTTTGTCCAGGTTGGAACGTTAACAGTAATCTACCTGTTATTTTAATCTCTCTTTAACTCGTTGCATTCTAATTACTCGAGATGGGATGTCGGGGGTGACAGTTGACGATCGAGCCGGCCCGTACATGGACGCGCACCGCTCCGAGATCGATCACACGGAACGGTTATTACGTTGGTTCTATCCATTAGGATCGATCGTTGTTGCGCTGCTTAACACCGGAACGCGTCGATCGACGGCTAGCAATTGTTATGCCGCAGATATCTCCGCGAGCTTCATTCCGATCCGTTATACAACGCTCGAGCGTTTTGTCTTGCTCGCAGGAACGATCATCCTTCGATTCCGACAGACGTTATTACCTCGTTTCAACCGCGGTATGCTCGCGTATTACCTCTCTTGCGTTGGTACTCTTTTTTGTTTTCTTTTCTTTTTTCAAACGTTGCGGTTTGTCGTTGAAGTCTCGACGATCGCTAGGCCATCGTCAGGCTCGGTTTGTAAACGATATCTCGCCTCTTTCGCAGCATACTCTCTATTGCATGCGTGTTTTTTGCGGTTTTCGACGGAAGAAAACACCGATGGAACGCGCGTATCTCTTCACGACTAAAGATTTCTATTTCGCGTCGGTCATCTCTCGCGCGGTTTCGCGGGAGAAATCGTGGACTCGCGAAGGGCCGTATCGCGTCGGTCTCGCTTCCACGGCGAAAAGTTTCTTCCGGTTGGAACGAACAGTTTTCACGATACACACGTCATGCAACAACGGTCTTCTACGTTTCGATTCGTGTTCGAACGCGCTACTTGCTGAATCTGTAATTCCGTTCACGGTACCTTATTACGACCGCTTTTGCTGCGCTGTTCATCAATTAGTTACGGTAGATGAAGTACGCTCGGCAAGAGGAAAGAAAAGAAAAATAAACCGACGATCCTACTACTCTCCGTCTCGAATACCGCGACCGGAAAATATCTATCGATAAGAGAGAGGCTATCGATCGACGGAGAGCACAAACTTTATCAGCGTTTCCGTTCTCTACACTCGGCTGTTTAGGATCGTCTGTAAAATAGACACCGTTTTTGTCCGCGCGGAAGACAAGAGAAAACTACGATTATTTACCTACCATTTCCGTGGCGAGTGAAAATGTTTCACGATTGGAGAAGTTTATAAACGCGTACGATTCGTGGAAACGAACTAGGCAGCACAAAGTCGACCCGTAAACTCGGTTTTCTTCGATATCTCGACCTCGTTGCGCGGAATCTCTGCTCTTTCTCTTCTCCGGTCGTCCCCCGCTTAGTCGGTGCAATTCTAATAACGGAAACTCTGTACTCTGGAGTCAACCTCTCTCGTTAGAGCTCTGCAACAAAAAAAAAGGTTCATGCATTTTCCATTGAAAGAATGCCGCCGCTTTATTTCTCCATTGGCGCACGCATCCGTTCCCTTTTGTCGTTTCACGTGTTTCTTCTTTTTTTTTTCCCTCCTTTTTGCTTCCTCCTCTCCCGCCGCCGCGATAGAGAAGAGAGATATTCAACGCGGTGTACTCGAGCAAGCAGCATCCGTTCGGTAGAAATCCCGACAGCTTGGAAGGAACATTTTATACTTCACTCTATATAAACAGTTGACTGTGTGCGCGGCGAGTTGCACAACGCCGGTTTTCCTACAATTTCGAAATGTTTTTCATTGTCAATTAGAGATTAATTGGCCGTGTATCGAGAAACCGGCTCCGCCAGCCCGGATAGAGCGTAATTGCATGCCTGTCTTCAATAACCCTTCGTGCTTTCCCCCGGTTTATCGTGGAACAGAGATCGCCCGGTTCTATACATATTTATGTTGAGAAGTTAGCGGATCCGCTTCCTTCGACTAGTGACAGCCATCCACGGTGAACTAGACCGATCCCATGTACGCCTAAGAGGATGGGAACCGTCGGGGCCAAAGCCAGGAAATATTCTATTTTTACCGCCGACCGTTTGATAAAGTTTCAAGGCTTCCCTCCAGGGTTATAAATATTGACCAACCCTCGTGTAATTGCAAAACGGTGCACCGTTTACAACGCGAACTACGAGCCGTAGAATTGTACGTATGCCCCGTAAAACCGTAGTAGTTAACGGTTACGGAAGAAGAAGAACAAAAACGTACGTCTTATTGTTGTCTCAGGGACAAGTCGATTACCTACAGACACGTACCATTTTCTCTCACTTTCCAATCCTTCCGTCCCCCCCTTTACCAAAATCTCAATCTACGTCGGTGTTGGATGAAAAATAGAACTCACCCAAAATGTTTCGATCCCACGAAGAAACAGCTCCTCCAAGTTTCCTCTTCGTCGCGAAATGCACATCTACGGCGTACCTTTTCTTTTGTGTTTTTCCAAATAGAGCGGTCACGCTTATCGAGAATAAATTATTCACACTGCCGTGTCGCGACAACTGTATACACGGTGTAACGTAACTTCCGTGACAAAAAGGTGACAGCGTTCACACGCGGTTCCGGTTTAACCAAGTCGAAAACAAACACCTCGAACCGGACTCGTCGTGCACGTGATGATCGCGTTCCAGCATTATCCCGACATATCCACGACGTGTACAACGTTGATCAGAGTCACCGGAGATGCAATCGAGTTGCGTTTAAACACCAGGAGGAGCAGCGACAGTACCAAGTTCCTTCGTGCCGTAAGGAGCACTGAATGGGTTTGCCAGACATAATCGCGTTTACGGCACAGCTGTAGGTACACCACTCTTTTCCTTTCCTTTCCATGCGAGCCAGTGTCGAGTACCGGAGGATCTCCCCACTATGTGCACGCGTGGAGCACGAGCGACGTACACCCACGCGACACCCGGTATACGTGGGTATAGCTGGCATTGAAGAGGAAAGGAGAGGCGAGATTACTATGCCCGGCGACTGTCAAATTTCCTCGATCGTGGTTCGGGTTGCAGGTAAAGTAGCGTCGATTATATGGAATCGAACGGGATAAAGCGTCTGAAATATGTGTGCGTTGATTAACCGATGGATTAAGAAATTCTAACCTACGCTAATTGCACAGGGTGTGTATTGATGTAATTAAGGCGTAAATGGTAAGGAGCAACGTCTCTTCGTAGATGTACGATAAGTTAGGTGATCTCGATTTGAAAAACGGTCTCTCCGCGGTCTTCTTCAACGCACAATCTCCCACGCGGTCGTCGATCCACGAACACGCGTTGCTGTGTTAATCGTTGGCAATTTCCATCGTATACAGAACCCGTAGTGACGTCTTCTGTTGAATATTATCCGACGAAAGAACATTTCCAAGCGGCAATGAGCCAACGGTGCACGTTAATAACCACCCACGGTTTCGAGCATGGTAACGAGCAACCACCGGCCACTCGCGGTAGTCGCAACACCGGATTTACGAGACAAACGGATCAGCAGCGTTGAATGTTTTTCTCTCCGTTGCTGGTTTCCTCGATAAAGTTGTCCGCGAGACAGCCTTTCTGAAAGCACGTTTATTCGCTTGTAGTTACACGACGGTGTTCGTTACAACTTGTTCGAATCACCGACGATTTATAGAGCTGTGAGTCGGGCAACCGTGATAACCACGCGTCGAGAATATTAGATTTAATATATACGCTCCTTTACGTAAGAGTAAATCTTCATTTTCCACGTCTCTTCCCTCTTGGTATTACGTTTCTCTATTCCAGTTACAATAGAGACAAACGGCGAGGTACTTACGCCATCGAGACACCGCGGTTTGTACAGGGTGCTTCCAAGTATGCGGGCATAACTTGAGGGATGGACACGGTACGGTTATTTAATAATTTTCATAGAAATTGTTGCAAGTGGCAACGCAGGTTATCAAACGTCAAACGCAGTTCCTCGACATTGTTCACTCGTGTGTTGCTAACCGAAGACTTTAGGTGCCTCCACAAATAAAAATCCAAGGGATTTGAACGGGGGCGATCGCGCTGGCCAATTAATTGGCCCTCCACGATCAATCCTTTTATCAGGGAAGACGTAGACGGCTACAATTTGGAAACAAGGTCATATCGGGTGTGTTGGATGATTGCAAAAGTCCGTGCCCGATTTTCAGATGTGGCAGGAAACTTATCGCACTTCGGCACACATGTTTGTTTCAGCATCACGTTGCATTCCTATCGAAAGATACGTTTCGTTTTATTTTCAAATCTTAAAATGTTTACTCCAACTTTTTTCCTTATTTCACCGCATTTACTTCCATCCCCGAAGTTATGCTCGCATGTTTTGAAACACCCTGTACAAGTAAGCGTACGAACCGTAAAACTTTCTGCGAAACATCACCCGTCACCGTGCATCATTGTTCCCTCTTTGACAATAGTCATTATCGGCGAGCATTATTGTTTCCTGGTTCGCAATCGTTTCTTTACTATCATTGTTCAACTAAGAAGTCGCGCAGCCAGTCTCTAGACGGCATGCACGGTGCGATAATAATGGCATTCTAGACAAGCCCAAAGATGACACAACCTGCCAACAATGACTGCCACGTGCACACAGGCTAAACAGTAAAATAGATTGTTTTTTTTTAAACCGGGATACCGTTGATCGTCGATTACCATCGGCGATCGATCGTTCACGGTGGCGTGCATTTGAATCGCACAACTCGAGGTCGTCTGGTCCTGAACGCGAACGCACGGCAAAAGGTATAGTGGGTCGAAGCGATACAGCGAGGTGATAAAGTCTGTCGGGCGTTGAAATAGTTATTCGAGGGAGATAAGGAGCTCGAGTATCGCTCAGGATTGTTCAATGTCAACTCGAGTAACTCAGGTAGGACGGAGAGGTGATAGAGGTTCGGCGATGAGGCTGTAGCGCCACCATTTTGCAGAGAAATTGAGTGAAAAATTTCTTTTATATTCTTCACGGGTTAAATAATAAAGCTCCTGTGGAAAGTTCTCGATTGAGTCATTTATTTCCTTAAAAAAAAATGTTAAATTGGGTAGAACTTTTAGGCCTCGGTTGAACCCTTTAATACTGCACATATTAAATGAAAAATTGCTTAACACCCTCTGCGGTTCTATGTCGAGTCTGGAATAAAGGCAATCTACACGGCACTGCCCGACAATGGCCAAACGAGTGCAGGCTAAATAGTCTATTCGGACCGCAAAGGGTTAACCCTTTACCGCTCACATTTTTCTCAACTTGATATACTAAAAATGATAAATTCCTTTTTTAATTATTTTCTAAACGTACCTGTAAACGATCACTTGCATTTTCGCCATTATAGAAATGATAACGCGATACAAAAAGTAAAAGAAAATAATTGTAAAAAATTGCACCCTCCGTAGGCAAACATATTTTCTGACACTCCGTAGGTCTTCAAAAATATCCGAAAAAATTCTGGAATATTTATCGAAGTCTCTGCTACATTATACAATCCCTTATCAAGTCAAATATTTTCAACTTCAAAAAAAATAAAAATTCTTTTCGAAGAAACACAAGAGCGAAATCTGACTTGGGTCATCGATGACCCAGGTTGCCAACGACCTCGCAATATCTCTTCCACCGACTATACGTATGCAATAGCGTCTTCCGTAACCTCGCAGCGAGCATCGAAAATTCACCACGAGCAACGCTGTCGTTTTCGATTAAACGCAGTGCCCGTCGGAGAGAGTTAGTCACATCGAAGGCGGTCGATTCCTGTCGAAGCGCATATTGCGCGTCGGCGCCCAAGGTTATCCGGTTCTCTTTCGTCGACGGACAAACAAAAGTACCAATAAGAAAAAGAAATAGAGATCACCTCGACGGAAGATGAGATCGCTCGGGATTAACGTTTCGCGATTAACCGAGCCTCTTCACCGCGAACTTGCGGTTTTCAGGAAACGTCTGGGCGTCGCGTAATCACCCTCGAAACGGTAAATACATGCGAAACGTAACCCGACATCGTTCAGCCTCTTGTTATTCGAGATATCCAATTCGAAAGATCTCCTCTGTGCGTACACTGTCCGATAAAGGCACCTTTTTCTTTCATAAATTCTTGTAATTATTCCGTATCAATGAGACATTTGGGTTTGGTAGCATTTTTCAAGTACCGAAGGTTCGAAGATATAAATATAACATTTATTTGAAGAACAGCGTAAAAATATAATTTAACCCTCTGGACAAAAGTGGACCAAAAGTGTAGGGGAGAGTCGTACCCGGCCAAAGCTAGATCTCGCTTATGCTGTCAGTTGACTGCACTATTGATGGAAAAACAAATAAATATTATAGCCCTGAGCAAAGCATTCCGGCGACGTTCTTTTTTCTTCGGTGTTACCGGAGTTCTAAAACGTTTACTCTGGTCTTCCGTACGGCAAAAGTTATTTTTCATAGCTGCAATGGTTGGGCTCACGTGGCGTGTACGGATCAAGAAAGTATCGATGCCTAAATAAAATTTCTATTCTATTTTTAAACGATTTTTACTAACATTCTTTGTTACTTAGACCTTCAAATCTACCAACTAAGTAGCTGGCCGGTACTGTACGACAATTTTTCGTTCGCTGCAAATTACAACTTTTTTATTTCTACGAATTATCTATCTTTATGAGAAAATTTAAGAAAAACCATTTGTCCCCTTTTATCAAGCACCCTTCCTCCTACAAATTACTTTCTTGAAATTTCATTTTTATCAACATTAGCCCAAGTTATAGTACAGAAACTTAAAGTGGCCGGTACTGCACGACTCTCCCCTGTACTGATTAGCCTACAAATTACTTTCTTGAAATTTCATTTTTACCAACATTAACCCAAGTTATAGTACAGAAACTTAAAGTGGCCGGTACTGCACGACTCTCCCCTGTACTGATTAGCTCGCTACTTCACTTTTTTTGTTTTTTAATTAAATTATATCGAAATTACATTTTTCTCAAATATACCGCATGAGTTCATACTCCAACTATTTTTATTGCTTAAAAATGTGTAAGTTTGTTGGTTGCGTTCGTAGTGTTCTGTGAACGCACATACGAGTCCATCGTCCTCAAAGGGTTAACAGCAAATAAAGTGGGAAATTTTTGTAAAGTCACTCGCTGTTTACATAAATACAGTAAAAATTTACAATTGTTTTTCTACTATTTCTATATCAATACCTGGTGCAACTTCCATTTCTTTTTAATAAGATTAAAAGTACGGTTTAGCATTGAGGAAATGAACTTTCGAGGTTATGTCTCTGTTTCAACAGACGTCCACGCTTCATTCACCGTATTGCTTAATTCATTAATGAAATTGTGTCGCTTGCGATCGATTTTCGATGGAATTCATATCGGGGGAGCAAGCAGGCCATGTTACAGGGTCGATACTTTTTTGCCGAAGAAACCACTGCTTCGTGTGCTTTTATCTGTACACTGCAGCATTATCGTGTTCATAAACAAAATTGTCATGTTGGATATTTTCCGTAAATTCGACGTCCGCACATTTCACTCAGAAACTCTCGCCTAGGTCTTCTAGAGTGTGCTACAATACATTTTTTTTTGACAAAAATACATGGAATGTAAACCATTGATGTAACATTTCACAACCGAACTAAAAAGAAAAGAAGGTGAAGTCGTGTATACGTGACAACGGACCACCCAAATTCATCTTACGGCTAAAAGAGCAAATTATAGTCTCGAAATACCGGCGAAAAGGAAGGCAACTTTACAAAAATTTCGGGAAGCGTGCATATGCATACCTGAGCAGAGAGGATGATCGCGACGAGCGCGTGCAACTTTTTCCTAATGCGGCAAAAGTCACTTCCGGCGGTACGGAAAGCGGAAACGTAGCGCGTGCTCGTCTGTATCCGGTCACTGTACACAGCCGGCAACTTCTCCCGCCACTCGTAGCAGTGAACTTACCCTACTCGTCGATGCACCTTTGTTTACCGGTGAACCAATCCAGAGTTTCCTTGAAACTTCCTTTTTCCACCGGTGGTCACTTTTCACTTTCGTCTGTTCACCGGCGACCAAGTTGAACGACACCGTCGCGTTCCCTATCCACGCCTGTGCTCTCCTGTGAAACAAAGTTCCCGTACTCGTGTTCTAAACGGACCAAGTGTAACTCGTCCTTTTCACTACACGTTTCCATCGAGATACAGTATAACGTGTAGATACATACGTGATAACGTGTACAAAGGATGCTTTTCTCACGGTCAAAGGTGAATACAATTTTGCGCGTGCAGGCGTAGACATCCCCCTCGTTTGACAGGATTGAAGGATGAGAGGAAAAGCAACCAGGAGCCTCGCGATGTTTTCGCCCAACCGGTAGAGAGAGAGAGAGAGAGAGAGAGAGAAGACGTTTTGCGCCCGATTCACGTGGGAAGATAGTCACGTGGGTGAATTTCTCGAAAAGGTCGTAGGTGAAGTATTTCGTACGAATCTACGTGTCTTCGCCGCGAACACGATCAGAGGATAATTGCAGTGATTATGCAACCAGCCGCCGTTCTCTGTGCGCGCGCGTTGTACCTGTCTTGTGTAATATCGTTATTCGAGCATTTCAACGGTTATCGGGTTTATTTTCAATGAAAATATTTGCCGCTCCGTAGGAGAGTTACCTGTTTTGCTGCACCCAATTTGGTTAAGATTACCGGTTAATTCCGCGTGTGTTTATCGGAGGAGTAGGGGCGAGTGGGGGAATTACGAACACCCGAGGGAAAAGTTGAACGAAACGTTTATGTACAAACGCGTATTATCTGTTTATATATTTTTATGACGAGCTTCAACACTAGAAATGACCTATCAGCGATTTTCTAAAAGTGAACTTTTGTGTAACTAAAAGGTGATTAGGAAATTAGACTCGTGTCGACGCAAATAGAAGTATATATGCAAAAGATAAAGTCAGGAAGTTGCAAACGACATTCACTTTTTTGGGAAGTTGCTGACGGGTCATTTTCGACCCGGTCGGTAATTCTGGTGTTACCAAAATTTAAAGATAAATCCAATTTTCAATAGAAAAACCAAACCTACCTGTCGTGGGGTAATCACGAACGCTACTTATTTCTTACAAAACTCGCATAAATAGTAACACAATCCATTAGCATTAAACATCGGTATTAAGATAATTACACATGCGAAAGCTACACTTACCTTACTTTCTCCAAAAAATTAGACAAATACGAGCACAAATCTTCAAGTGACCTAACATTGCATTCGGTATAAGCGATCGTGTTGCAAAAGCACGAATAGTTGGCGCTTTTCTAACACCATGTACACGCGAATTCGCAACTACCCCACGTTCGTGTTTCCCCGACTCTCCCCTAATATCGTCCTAGTAAGAAGGGTCGGATTATGTCTGCGAGAACGTTGTCGAATAAAAGCTTCCTCTTGCGAACGTTACAAAATTGAATAACGCTTTATTACGTGAGTTAAACGTGAATCGGATTACATGCGGTGATTAAACGGCAACAATGAAGGATCACGATCGAGAGAGAGGTTGATTGAATATCGGCCGGCGGAGCGGGTGAAACGATATGCGGAAATTTGCAACTAATTACTCGCGGTCTGACGATGTTACTGTGGCATGAAGTGAAAGCGATTTCACGCACAGTATATGGGAATACATAACGAATTAACAAGGCTGGCCTTATTAATAGGATAACAAAACGTGCTCACATTATTGTCAACGCTTCTTCCTTCTTTCCACGTAATTACAACATCGTTCGTTGGAGTGTAGGCAATTTGATTTTGATCGGTGTAATCAGGTGTAACGAGTCCTTCTGTGGATCGTTTATTTTTTACTCACTTGAACTGTATCTTTCACGAGATTTGCAATTTGACGACGTCTTTCTTCCTCTTGTGACATACTTAGCTCTTGTTCGAGGAATTTTCTCCAGGAGAGAAATTGAACAGTTTTGTCACACTTACTACCGTTGCCCCAAAGATTGTAGTATAGTTTCTCGATAATTAACACGAGACAACCTAAAAGTACTCCGCCGGCTAGAACAGCTAAAATCGGCGCGATTCCGCCTATGGTGACTGTTGGGAAGCTGTTGTCACCAGGTTTCGCGGTTACGAGAAACATGTGTCTTAATTTGTTCAGTACCCCGTTGTCTTTGAATCGCTGTAGGCTAGAAATATTCATGTGTGTTATTGACAGAGAGTGTTTTAAGGGTACACCACTTTGAGGTGTGTGAAAATAGGTAAAATTTTGGAATTTCTTTTGTAGGTAACTATTGCATGAAAAGTTTCAATCTTTTCAGAAATGTTACAAAATGATTGGAAGTTGTTGCAAAGATGAGAAATGTTAGAAAGTCATTCGTTAATTGCTAAATTTCTTTTGTTTGAACGTCGATTGATGGCTGGCAAAGATTGGAACGTGTGAAATAGAAAATTCTCTTCGATGCAACGTTTTTACTTTGTAACATTTACAGTTTTTGCGTATTGGAGAAAACAGTTGAAAGTTACATTTGCGTTCTCTGGAAAAATTGAGACTTTTCATTTAGAGGTCGTTAGAGGTGTGCGAGAATCCGAAAATATGGGATGGGAATTTTTTTCGGGATCGGGACGAGTTTCCGAAAATTTCGAAATTCCCGAAAATTTAGAGATTTCCGAAAATGTAGAGATTCCCGAAAATTTAGAGATTCCCGAAAATTTCGAAATTCCCGAAAATTTAGAGATTCCCGAAAATTTAGAGATTCCCGACAATTTCGAAATTCCTGAAAATTTAGAGATTCCCGACAATTTCCAAATTCCCGAATATTTAGAGATTCTCGAAAATTTCAAAATTCCCGAAAATTTAGAGATTCCCGATAGTGTCGAAATTCCCAAGAATCTCCGGGATTCGAAAGTGCCGGGAATTTGAAAAGTGTCGGGATTCCCGAAATTAAACAAGTAAAAATAAGTGAGAAAAGAAATTTTATAATGCGGTTTTCGAAAACACCCAAAAAGTCTAAAAAATTGAAACTGCAGTCGTGTTCATTAAAATAAGCCTCGAAATGCCAAACGGTTTCTCGGAACTTTCGGGAATCTCGCACACCTCTAGTAATTACCTACAAAAGAAATTCCCAAACTTTAGCTACTTTGAATCACTTCAAAGTGATCTACCCCTTTGAGACGAAACTGATCGCTAATATTTACTGATAATTCACTGCTCCCGTAAACGGGCTGGCTTTGCTCAAAACCATAGCCAAACTGTCCACCTTGTTCGCTTCTATGTAGACGGTTTCACACGGTAGAGAACTGATTGCATTTCTTATCACTTCTGTTACGTAGAATCCCACTTTTTCGTTGCAAACCTGCGATAACGAGAGAATAATTCAAATATACGTATAAATAGGTCATCCCATAAGTTCCTGTCGAATTTCATAATTCAGATCAAAATTTCCAACGAACCTTTAAATTTGATTTAAAAAACGCACGCGTCTTCTCATTCCACAATTTTAACTTATTTCTTTTTACCGTCGCTATAGAATTTTCTTGAATTTTCATTCAAAAATTTCTCTCTTTCGACGCGAATTTGCGAGACGATCTAATATTTCAAACTCACAAAATACACAAGATGGGCCACAGAATTATCTTCTCTAGCTGGTACAAGAAAATTTTTAGACCCAATTTAAATGGTTTCAAAGACAGAATAAAGTGGGCGAAAAATTTTTTTATAAATACCACTTTTCTTCAAGATCACCCATATTTTCTTACATAAATATATGTCGCAAACACGTACAATAACCTAACCTTAAAATGACCTTGGACTCTAAAATGTAAAATCGAAAAAGCTTCCTATAATTTTTCTCTATTTCTTCCATCGAAAATATTTCCGCGAATAACATTCAAGTGGCCTCTTTCCCATGGCTCGCCCCGTATACACGAGTTTCGTAATCTATCATCATTAACGAACCTGCGTAAAGGCTTCATTCACCGTCACGGGTAAATCTTCCTTCTTCTTCAACAATCTCTTCACTTTCGAATACGTACTGTCATTGGCAGACTGAAATCACACCTACTATATACTCTTCGTTCGAAGCATGATTCTGATCACACGGTAGATACTTTATCATCTTACAATTATCATGTCGTAGTCCGCGCTGTTTTTGAATACGATTAATTTGTAAGAGCCATAAGTGGCGAATCCTTCGATGGTAGAGAAGGGCAAGCTGATGGAATATATGGTTAAATAGCTGATCAACGAAGCGGAATAGGCAGATAGAATGATCAAGGCGGACACGAAAATCGAGAGGAATGCTAATCTCATCGAAGACTCGTTTGGAAATTCTGAAAGGAGATGGTATTATTTGAGGAAAAGAAGAAATGCTCGATCGTTGTTGCATCGGTGTTACCTGATAACCCTTGTTGACAATAGATTCCCCAAACGTATATGTAATTATCAGCGAGAACTTGCATGGTGAAACGACCCCTCGTTTTAATGACGGTTAAAACGATCGGCGTAGTTAGGATTAGGCATATGATCGTTGTCCAAATGTCGACGTTGAACGTCTGAAAGCAGGAAATCGTTAGAGTGGAGGAATCGATATCGTCGCGTGAAAATTGATCCAAGCTGGAAATAAAATAACTGACTGTAACGTGCATTGATTTTTGCGCGGTAAGGTAAACCTGGGAGTGATGGACTCTGTGCGCGAGATGGAATACTTTCTGAAGTAAATAAATATCAAATTTGAAGCGTTTTTAGTTTTCTTTTTTTTGATTTTCGTGCCTTTTGGTTCACTGTGCGTGGGGTGGATGTGATTTTGAATACATGAATTACAATTAACTTTAATGGACCGTTGTTATAATTTTTTATGCGCCTATTTTTAAAAAAAGTATTCTGAAGTGAATAAATGTCAAATTTGAAGCGTTTTTAGTTTTCTTTTTTTTGATTTTCGTGCGTTTTGGTTCACTGTGCGTGGGGTAGATGTGATTTTGAATACATGAATTACAATTAACTTTAATGGACCGTTGTTATAATTTTTTATACCCCTATTTTTGAAAAAAGTATTTTAAAGTAAATAAATGTCAAATTTGAAGCGTTTTTAGTTTTCTTTTTTTTGATTTGCGTGCGTTTTGGTTCACTGTGCGTGGGGTGGATGTGATTTTGAATACATGAATTACAATTAACTTTAATGGACCGTTGTTATAATTTCTTATACCCCTATTTTTGAAAAAAGTATTCTGAAGTAAATAAATGTCAAATTTGAAGCGTTTTTAGTTTTCTTTTTTTTGATTTTCGTGCGTTTTGGTTCACTGTGCGTGGGGTAGATGTGATTTTGAATACATGAATTACAATTAACTTTAATGGACCATGGTCATAATATTTCATGCGTCTATTTTTGAAAAAAGTACTCCAATTCCCGTGTCATTGAACATTATCACTGTGTTCATTAAACCTACATCACGAACGAAACCTTCTTCTTTTTATTCAATCATAGACGAAATTCCACCTCCGACAAAAGTGTTCCGTCACTCTGCAATTTACCCTAACTGTAAACCTAAAAGTGAAGAACAAAAAAGGCAAAAGAGCGGAATATTCCGTGGAAAAAGGAAACCTTGAAGTAGGCGGACCACTCCACAGCAGAGCCATCCGGTTTCTTGAAGTATATTTTATAACGCGAGAGAATCAACGGCAATGTAAAATCGACCGCGTCCAGCCTACGGTTGGTCATGCTGAACTCGGCGACACCGAAATCAGCCCTGTTGGACGCCACCTCGCCCATCACACCTGTCCAAATCTTCTCCTCTTTGTCCCAACTGCCGTACGCCGGCATAGAGCTTACCACCTCGATCGTGAAGTTCATGTATTCGCTTAGCTCCCGCATCACTACGCCCAGGAACAACGAGAGAGCACCGTTCTTCTCCGCGATGAACAGAGACTCCTTGAATTCGAGATGAGAGCAATTTTTGTTACGAGATCACCTTGGAACGAGAGGATCGAGGAATGATTCGTCGAACGAACTTGTCGTTTCAACCCTTTCGTTGCTAACGTGGCGTTTACAAGCGTTTTGAAAATTCGCTCGCGCTATATTGTTGCAATTCCATATGAATTTATGCTTAATTTGATCTTTTAGGCATTTCTACTTTAATTTATATTTAATTTTGTCCTTCACACGTTTGTACTTTAGTTTAGCTAATACTTAATTTTATCCTTCTTTTAATTTTAATTGAATTAATTAAATATTTAATTTTTATCCTTCCTTATCCTTAATTTAACCCTTGCGTCAATAACCGGGTATATTTTTGCGCATTTTCTCACTGAAAATATTTGATCTTCCCGTTAGAAGATTTTAATATCCGGCCAGATCGTTGTTATTTGGATGGTGGCACATTTTCTATCCGTGTTTTTCCTTCAAGTTTAGAGTTTTCTTATCAGAAAGCTACTAAAAACTGGACGATAAAGTAGAGGACAATTTGTGGTTATTGGCGTAAGGGTTGATAAATGAAATTTTAAAACGATACGGTCAAAGCCACGAATCTTGCAGTCCTGGTTGAAAATGTACCATTTATCGCAGCGAAAGGGTTGAAATTTATCTCGATCGGTGCACGATAATACAGGGTGTTTCGTCCGTCTTGTTGACTTCAATATCGGAAAAAGTTGTTTTGTTCAAAACGGCAAATATTTTAATTCATGTTTTTCCCCTTCGAGATTAATTTTTTCTCAAGTTTTCAAGGCCATCGACGACTTTTCGACAATAATGGCGTATTGTTATCATCGTATGATTGTAGCTGATAAAAAATGAATTTCAAACATGCAGATATGTTGACCTTGAGTAGAAATTTCACGATAATTTGAAGGGAACCAAGAAATTGAACGTTTTCTTATTCAATTCACGTTTCTTCCCTTCAAGGTTTCCCTCAAGTATAAAATTCGCGATAATTTTCAGTGAATTAAAAAATTGAACATTCTCATATTTTTGCCCAAAATTTTGATACGCCCCATTTCGAGTGGTAGCATCACCTCAGAAACACCCTGTACGTACCATAATCGTGTATGCCCACCTGGACAATCGACACGCGTATCTTTTCCCCGTACATGTTGTTTCTTCTCTCGTACAACCAACGTTTCGTTCTCAAGTTCATCCCTTGGTCACCCTTCCAGGTGGCCAAATTGTAGACTCTAGTTTGATTGTCGCGTAACGAGTACCACTCGTTCAAATGCGGCAGATTGTAACAGAGTACCAGCATCTCGGTATCGTACATCACGTTGAACAAATTTCCAACAGGATTCTGACAAACGTCGAGCGTAGAAATTTGTTCGTGAGGTAAAAACATGACGAGCCAAACGGCAACAGAGATATCGATCTGTCTGGTGACCATCGAGAACTCGTCGACGGTCTTCTTTGTGGCAAGAACAACGACGTACAATGGACGCGTGATGTAACCTTGGTATTTCCTAGCCTCACGTGACAGTTCGGAAAAGCTTATAATCAAGGTCATGATGCCTCGTTGTGAGAAAGTCCGTGACCATATATACGCCAGGGACGTTTGATTGAAATCTGTGAAACGATCGTTCACCGTTCCTAGTCGTTCTTTTCTTTTCTTTTCGTTTTCAGGACGTAAGAGCAATTTGGCGAGGAAATCTCGTGACACAATGTGGATGAGATATCTCGCGACGATTTGGACGAGATATTTCGCGATGTTTTGGACGAGATATCTCGCGACATTTTGGACAAAAAATCTCGGGAGGCTTTGGACGATATATCTCGCGTCACTTTGGATGAAACGTCTCGCGACGCTTTAAAGACGAAATATTGCGCGGCGCTTTGGACGAAACATCTCGCGATACTTTGGACGAAATATCTCGCGTCCCAATGTCGTTCATGAGATATTTCGCGATGCTTTGGACGAGATATCTCGCGACGCTTTAGACGAGATATTTCGCGACGCTTTAAACGAAATATTGTGCGGCGCTTTGGACGAAATATCTCGCGTCCTAATGTTGTTCACGCGATACTTTAGACGAGATATCTCGCGATGCTTTAGATGAGAAATTTCGCGATGCTTTGGACGAGATATCTCGCGACGCTTTAAACGAAATATTGCGCGGCGCTTTGGACGAAATATCTCGCGTCCTAATGTTGTTCACGCGATACTTTGGACGAGATATCTCGCGATGCTTTAGATGAGAAATTTCGCGATGCTCTCACGACACTTTGGACAAAAAACCTCGCAACGCTTTAAACGAAATATTGCGCGGTGCTTTGGACGAAATATCTCGCGCCCCGATGTCGTTCGCGCGATGCTTTGGACGAGATATTTCGCGATGCTTTAGACGCAAAATTTCGCGATGCTTTAGACGAAATATCTCACGACGCTTTAGACGAGATATCTCGCGACGCTTTAAACGAAATATTGCGCGGCGCTTTGGACGAAATATCTCGCGTCCCAATGTTGTTCACGCGATACTTTGGACGAGATATCTCGCGACCCGCATGCCTTCTCATTAAGACACAAAACATCTCGTCGAAAACATCAATGACCGACACTCAACTACAATCATTAAAAAACAAATCTCGCCCAAAAAGTCACATAAATAAAATCACGTCTCGAGATATATCTCATCCACGAATGCAAAAGGGTTAATGAAGCTTCAAACCACCCATATTCACATAAAATTTATTTTTTACTCATACCCACAGAACGTACCGACAAAGTTCGATTTTCGCGATGCTTTGGACGAAATATCTCGCGACCCGCATGCCTTCTCATTAAGACACAAAACATCTCGTCGAAAACACCAATGACCGACACTCAACTACAATCATTAAAAAACAAATCTCGCCCAAAAAGTCACATAAATAAAATCACGTCTCGAGATATATCTGATCCACGAATGCAAAAGGGTTAATGAAGCTTCAAACCACCCATATTCACATAAAATTTATTTTTTACTCATACCCACAGAACGTACCGACAAAGTTCGATAAAAGAAGAAAAAAAGAAAATCTGAAACACCCGTTAAACTAATTGGCTGAAAGTAACACAGCGAATTTCCACCACTTTCACACGTATAATTTTCGAGAAGAGTGAGCAACACTTACCGCTATAGGTGTCTGAATGAACGATTATAACACACGTTGTTTCGTAATAGTTATGAATGTCTCTAATAAGAAGTATATAATTGTAAGCGTCGTTTACATCCACCGAGAACGCCGATACGGACAGCAACAGCAACACGATGGTCGTGTAAAGAATCATTCGTGCCATTTTATTTTACACGAAAAAGAAACCGTCTGTTACATCGAAATCTTCGCGTTTAAAAGAAAAACAAAACGCGCCTATAATTACTTCGTTCACGGTCTACATTCGTCAGTTCCTCCTTAACACACTCTTTTTTTCTTCCTTTCTTTCTCTTCTCGAATAATACTCGACGGCACCCCTTTCGCGATGCTTCCCGACCGGTTTTAGTGGTAACTAACTGAACAGATACGCAGGCAAACTCGTTTGTGTAACGCAGAGATCTATTAGGATTTATCGAATCTGTGGATCTATGGATAGTGTCTCATTAGGAGACAAACTGCATGCATTAACTGGTTCGATCGCACCGGTTACGTACAAATTGTTACGAAGATTAACGACGATAACGTATCAGGGAGAGAAAAAAGAAAAAGAAATGAACGTGTTGTGATTTCGCTGACAACTTTTAACGAGTATTATCGTTCGGTACGGTCGCGACAACGATGGAAAACTTTGCGTAGTATCTGGTAATAACGTGTAACAGGGGGCGAAAGGGAAAAATCGTGACATTTTTCGGTGTGCTCTCGTGACATTCTATCGACCTCTTTCTACGATTTCATCGATCGACGATTTTACGTTGGAAAATCAATCCGTCAATCGAGATCGTCGAAATCTTTACACCTGTCGGAGTATATCTCTAGTATCAGTATTACAAGTGACAGCGCGGACCCGCAAACGAAGATTATTAGCACAGACAAGATGCTACTGAAACAAACCGCCTGGAATCTGGTTTCCTCCTCAAAATTTTCCTCGTTCTTGAACCGGTTCAGTACGCCGGTGCTCAGCAACTTCTGCAAACTGCAACGTAACGACGGACACGTTCGTTTCAAGGAAAGAAATAACAAAAGAAAATTACATATTCCCTCGTGTATATGTGTGCGCGTGCACAGAGTTCAACGACACCTGACGATACCTTGAACAGGTAGACACACTCACTAGTAATTCAAAACGGAGGTGTACTGATTCTTTTTCGGCAGGATAAAGGACAAGCTATCCATTCGGTCGAAATCGACGCGGCTGATTCTGCACGGAACGCTGAAGCCTGTCGATCTTTTCTTCAGGTCTGGTATGTAGCCCGTGTAGAACGCCAATTTTGAGTCGTCGCAGATCTAAAAAAGAGAAGAAAGAAAATTGCAGAATTTCTTGCGGTTACCGATTTCTTGGTCAATGCAAGTTGACGATACGGGGAAGGGAAACTTACACTTTGAAATCCGCTTTTCAAATCGCGCGGCATTGTATGCTTCGGCCTTAGCATCTTTCTCATCTTCACAGACAACGTGTCTTTGGAGTACTGCAAATTAAAGGAAACGATTTTCTGTTACATTTAGAAGTTGTGTGTGAAAAATCGTTGGGCTGCATTTCCTACGCTTTCCGTTTCGTTCTGTCCTGTGTGCTGTGAGCCGAGGAAACGGTACTTTTCACTCTGTTCGGTCGTTTTCGATCCTGCTTGTTACGTCGAGCAAATGTTTCCAACGTGATTCCTCGACGTGGAAGCAAAAGTGAAAGCATCTCTCCTGGCAGTGATATACTAGTGAGTCACAGAACTGATCACACACCCATCAAGGAAGAATAAGTTTTTCGAGATTGGACCAAACGAGTTTGAGCTTTTTTGGGGGAAATTGGAAGGATTGGTTTACTGGATGAGCTGCGAAGAGGATTTTGAAAAAATTGCAATTGGTCGGATTTTTGCAACTTTTTCATCTACACGCATTCATTCACTCTTGCCACGTGCCGATTTTCGGTCAAGACATCGCTCTTATCACGCGTGCATTTTCATTTGGCAGAACTGTCACTCGGTCCAAACACTCTTCACTCGCACCTCACTCGATCCGACTGTGAAACGTTTCAAACACTCTTCGTTCACACCTTACTCGATCCCGACTATCGCTCGGCCCAAACATTCTCATCTCACATTCTGCGAATGTATTTTGTAAATTTTCATTGCCGGCTCGGATGAGAAAGTTGGCTATTTTCTTCGCGATTCAGACTTTTGACTATTTTAAAAATGTTGCAAAGAGCGGCCTTCGCCATTTCCTTCGCGATTCAGAGTTTTGCCCATTTTAAAAAAGTTGCAAAGAGCGACCGTCCCCATTTTCTTCGCGATTCAGAATTTTCATCATTTTAAAAAGGGCGCAAGAAGCGACCTTCACTGTTTTCTTCGCGATTCTGACTTTTGTCAATTTTAAAAATGGCGCAAAGAGCGACCTTCGCGATTCAGACTTTTGATCATTTTAAAATAATTGCAAAAAGCGACCTTCGCTATTTTCTTCGCGATTCAGAGTTTTGCCAATTTTAAAAAAGTTGCAAAAAGCGACCTTCGCTATTTTCTTCGCGATTCAGACTTTTGCCAATTTTAAAAAAGTTGCAAAAAGCGACCTTCGCCATTTTCTTCGCGATTCAGAGTTTTGCCAATTTTAAAAATGGCGCAAAGAGCGACCTTCACTGTTTTCTTCGTGATTCAGATTTTTGGTCATTTTAAAAAAGTTGCAAAGAGCGACCTTCGCGATTCAGACTTTTGCCAAATTTAAAAAAATTTGCATAGAGCGGCCTTTGCTATTTTCTTCGCGATTCAGACTTTTGCCAATTTTAAAAAAGTTGCAAAAAGCGACCTTCGCCATTTTCTTCGCGATTCAGAGTTTTGCCAATTTTAAAAATGGCGCAAAGAGCGACCTTCACTGTTTTCTTCGTGATTCAGACTTTTGGTCATTTTAAATAAGTTGCAAAGAGCGACCTTCGCGATTCAGACTTTTGCCAAATTTAAAAAAATTTGCATTGAGCGGCCTTTGCTATTTTCTTCGCGATTCAGACTTTTGCCAATTTTAAAAAAGTTGCAAAAAGCGACCTTCGCCATTTTCTTCGCGATTCAGAGTTTTGCCAATTTTAAAAATGGCGCAAAGAGCGACCTTCACTGTTTTCTTCGTGATTCAGACTTTTGGTCATTTTAAATAAGTTGCAAAGAGCGACCTTCGCGATTCAGACTTTTGCCAAATTTAAAAAAATTTGCATTGAGCGGCCTTTGCTATTTTCTTCGCGATTCAGACTTTTGCCAATTTTAAAAAAGTTGCAAAAAGCGACCTTCGCCATTTTCTTCGCGATTCAGAGTTTTGCCAATTTTAAAAATGGCGCAAAGAGCGACCTTCACTGTTTTCTTCGTGATTCAGACTTTTGGTCATTTTAAATAAGTTGCAAAGAGCGACCTTCGCGATTCAGACTTTTGCCAAATTTAAAAAAATTTGCATTGAGCGGCCTTTGCTATTTTCTTCGCGATTCAGACTTTTGCCAATTTTAAAAAAGTTGCAAAGAGCGACCTTCGCGATTCAGACTTTTGCCAAATTTAAAAAAATTTGCATAGAGCGGCCTTCGCTATTTTCTTCGCGATTCAGAGTTTTGCCGATTTTAAAAAGGGCACAAAAAGCGACCTTCACTGTTTTCTTCGCGATTCAGACTTTTGCCAATTTTAAAAAGGGTGCAAAGAGCGACCTTCGCGATTCAGACTTTTGCCAAATTTAAAAAAAATTTGCATAGAGCGACCTTCGCTATTTCCTTCGCGATTCAGAGTTTTGCCAATTTTAAAACAAATTTCCTTTTACACGTCATGCAGTAAACCAATCGTTCAAACGTTTTCAAAAACCTCAAATTCCATTTCGAAGGGTGTCCAAAAGTTTCTGTTTGTGTCTCACCGATCGTCGAAGGGTTAAAACGAAAATAAAAATACGATTCAGACTTTTGATCATTTTAAAATAGTTGCAAAAAGCGACCTTCGCTATTCAAACTTTTGACAATTTTGAAAAAGTTGCAAAAAGCGACCTTTGCTATTCAAACTTTCGACAATTTTGAAAAAGTTGCAAAAAGCGACCTTCGCTATTTTCTTCGCGATTCAGACTTGACAATTTTAAAAAAGTTATTCTTTTTTGAAAGACTGTACGATCAGTTCTGTAACTCACCGTACCGTACGTAAATACTTCTTTCTCGAACAAAACTTACTACGAGCATGTCGTAATCCGAGGTACCTCTCGTGACGATTATACCATAGGTGCCGTCGTTGAGGAACTCGTCGACAGTGTGAAAGGGTTGATCTCGGACATGAGCTGTCACGAAGCTTATCAAGGAGGCAGAGTAAGCAGCTGATATCACCATAGCGGTAAAGAGCATGGTGAAGTATGCCAGTCTGAGCGACGAATTCCGTGGAAATTCTTGAAGTAAATTCTTCATTTACATCTGGCCAATTTATTCCTGCGAACGTATCGATATTTCTATACTTTACCTGCGACACCTTGCTGACAGAAAATACCCCAAATTCGCAGAGACTCGTCGGAGATATTTTGCTCTATACTCGAAGATTCTATACGAGATCTGATGAACGCCAGAACAATCTGAGCAATTATTATCGTGATAATCACAGACATCCAGAGTGCAAAGTTGAAAGTCTGCAAACACACATATACATATGTATCGATTGAATCATGCGATATCACTTATTGTACCTTGAAGTACGCGAACCATTTCACAGAGAAGACTTGCGGTTGTTTCAAGTATAAACAGCTTCTGATTGTTAGAATAGGTACTGTATAATCGACGTAATCTAGCCTGACATTGGTCATGGAAAAATCAGATATCCCCATGTCTAATTCACCCGAAGCCACTAAATTTACCGCTCCGGACCAACGTTTCGTTGTCCTGTTGAAGCTTCCGTGCTCGAGTGCTTGAGCGACGACTTGGACGGTGAAGTTGAGAGCATTCTCCAGTTCGATGATCGTTCTGCTCAAATATCCTTCCAATTTGTTATTCTTCACCATGATGAGAATCGAGTTCTATAGAAAAAAAGGTGATATTTTGACGTGTAACGCAGATGTTCAACCGCACGATCGCAAAATCTTTCGTTTGGGCGTTTTAAAATTTAAAGAAAAGTTCAGTTTATTGAATTAAAGTGGAATTAAAGTGAAAAGAGTTCGTTTTATTGGATTAAAGTGCGCAAGGGCAGAAATTAAGGATTAAGTGATAAACGTGTGACAGAAATGGTCAAAGGAACAGCTGGAGGAAATTTTCAAAGCGCCTATAGGCGTCAGCAGCAGTGAAAGCGTTAAATTAGGGTGTGAAAATGCACGAAGGATAAAATTAACTACTAATCCCTTAACGCTCGTGCTAGTGTCTTACACGTGCACAACTTTGCGCTCGAAGGAGTGCAATTTTGTTTAATCGTTCTCTTTCACTTTTCATATTGCCTAATAAATGGGAAACTTATTTCTACACGCCTAGGAAATAATTAAGAAAAAATAAAATTGATCATTCTTGGTACATCAAGTTGCTACTTAAGCTACTTAAGGGGTTAAGTACGAAGAAATTTGAACGCCTGTAGGCGTGAACAGCAACGCAAGGGTTAAGAATTTGCATCGTGAAATTGTACTCTTGCCTTGACAATGACAGCTCGTAAAACTTTGCCCCTCAGATCGTTTCTTCTCTCGTACAAACTCAGATCCGTCAATACTTGGATTACTTCCGACGATTCTCTATCGGGGTGCCATTTGATCAAGTCGAACATCTCCGTGTTCTTCCCGTCTATCGAGTACCATTCGCGGAGAATAGGATCGTCGTAGCACATCACCAACATTTCCGTGTCGAACATCAGATGTAAAAGATTTCCACGTGGATCGAAGCAATAATCCTGTTTCCCGTGCATCGGCGTTTGCACGAATATAACGAACCACGCGAACGAGGACATTTTCAAAGATTGCGTACTGTTCGAGAGTTGATACACCGACTTGAGCGATGGTATGAAAACGATGACCAACGGACGAAGGGTGTTGTAATACTCTGTCAGCGTGTAGATGTTGTCGTAAGAGCTGCTCAAAGTTGGAACGTTCTCGCGTTCGAGAAGACGGGACCACTCGTACATTATCGTTGTCATTTGAAAATCTGAACGACGTAAAGAGAGAAAGATGAAAGACACTTACGGTGACTTTTCCTAATATTCCGTCTCTCTTTCGAACTGGAATAAATTTTTTGTTAAATTCGACCTAACGACTTGAGCTTTCTTTCTTTTCTTTCTTCGAGACGTTAGAAGGATTAACCCCTTAACGTATGATTTCTTTTCTGACTTTGCGTCTAAGTGTCAGCCATTTAATGTTTTAGTACTGTATCAGGTAACGAAAGGTAATCTGTTACAGATTAATTACATTTAGGAATCGTAAATTAAAATGAAAGTTAGGTTTGCAATGAATTTTTCTTAGTAGTATAACCGCGAGTCTGACGCGTTGTTGTAGGTTAAGGGGTTCATTTACTAGATGACGTGTAGAAAAAATTGCAATTTGTGCTTTCGCTGATATTCCCACACTCTTTAGAACTGGAATAAATTTTTTTTAATTCTACCTAAGGTACTCGAGCTTTTTTTCTTTTTCTGAAAAGTTAGAAGGATTAACTTATTAGATGACGTGTAGAAAAAATTGCAATTTGTGGGTGTCGCGAAGAAAATTGTAAACGTCACGTTTACCAGCTACTTTATCTGTAATGAAAATTTATAAAAATACGTTTTGCAGATTTATGTGAATTATAGAACGTGCTGAAAATTTCATCGAAATCGGTTAACGTTGCTACGAGCTACACACGGTTAAAAATTGTGAAAATCACTGTTTTTCACGACTTTCGGCCTATAGCTGCAATAAATCTAAAGGTTCTTACATCTTTCGATGCCTGTCGCTTGTTTCTCCATCGACCGATTTCGATGAAATTTTCAGCATGTGTATAATTGACATAGATCTACAAAACGTATATTTTAAATTTTCATTACAAGCACAGATAAAAAAGTTGTAAACAGTGACCTTTACAATTTTCCTCGCGATTCCCACAAATTGCATCTTTTTCCAAATTTTTGGAACACGTCATCTAGTATACTAATCCTTCTAACTTGTCAAAAAAGCTCAAGTCATTTGGTTCAATTTTAGAGAACTTATACTGTCCTAAAGGTGACATTTAGAGGTATTTTAAAAAAAGAAATTTTTTATTTAAAACAGCAAAATCGTTTGTTTCTAATTTTAAGAAAGTCATAACGTTCTAAATAGTAGAATATTAGCGAGAGTCACGGTAAGTATAGCGAATAAATTTTCTATCGCGAAATTTCTCGATAATCGTACCGTCGAAATCTTTGACACCGATATGCGGATGTAACAAGAAAACGGTAGAAGTTGTATAATGATTACGTATCCATGTAATTAACGGAATAAACTGTTCCCCTCGGATGTTCACTTCAGCTCTGGCTAAATGAAAATAGAACGAAATGAAATTGAGATACACCGTAAACTTCATTTTTCCGAGAATTTCTCCTACACGTTCTCTTCTTTCTTCGTTTTTCTCGGGTGTTTTACTAAATATCGCACATGAGACGACGAAGGATATCAACGATAACTGAATGTCCCGCGTGTACGAAGAAGCACTTTTATGACGGATAATTCGAGTGCATAGAAAGATGAACATTAAACATTTAGAGACCAATCGTGTGTGGACTTTTTGACGTGAAAAATGTGTTTCTAACAATACGACTATGTTAGGCGCGATATTAATCGATTGTTAAATTAGAATATAAACTTATTATCGTGATGACATTACGACGATAACGGGGAACAAGGCATGACAGACAAAATGGAAACGGGGGAACGGTATCGATGATAACAAATAGGTAGGATATTACTCGTGCGTTCAATGGAACGTTCAATCGTAACGTTGTGAATGAAACATTTATAAAAAATATTAATTTAGTACTTGAGGCGAATGATTATTTCGCCAATTTATGCAAAATTGTTCGAATAAGTGTTCTTACAATGTATATATCGAAGCTTGAAATGTCCGTGGTACGGAAAAGTTCACTTGAACGTTCCCCATTACGTTACACGAACGATGCGTATCGATCTACATAATGTACATTCCATTAGAAAATTGCATCTTAACGATTAACTAGGTTTTTACTTTTCTTTCACAAGCGATTACTCATGAGCGAAGTGCATGTACGCATTCCATGTTTTCATAAATACAGTACTTAACATAATGATCGCAGCTTGTGAATAACGTATCGAACTCGCATTTGATATAAAATCAACGAGATTTTACACGACATAACGATTTCGATGGAACGTTATTTGACACATGATTCGATTTGAAAAATGACGAAAATATGTTAATTTTAAGATAGAAAATTGAACACTATATGCGCGCTCTCTTACAGAGATGATATATATAGCGTTTCTCGTTCGTAGCTGATTAATAAAGTGCCTTCAGTTTTTTCTACTTAAAGAAATGTGGGAACATAATTTCGGCTACTAAGAAATTAGTAGAATCGATGTGTAAACGCTTAAAAACCAGTCATAGATGCAAATGGTTATACGATAAAATATTAAAGTTATAATTGTTATATTATACAATAATTGAAGTAAAGAATAAGCATAATTATGAGATTACATTGTTAAGCTAGTAACGAAGAGTTCGGCAGCGGTAACCGAAGTTACGACGTTTTATGTCGACATACTTTCAGATTGTGCAGACTCATGATCGAAAGAAAATTTTACTTTCAAAAATTTAATACATCCTTGCACTTGCAGTCACTGTGGTTTTTATATACGTGGATTTAGATACAAATGTGTCGACTGTACATATGATCTATGTTCAAAATGTGAAACAAACGGTGTACATTTCAATCGTATCGTGACCCGTACACTAAACCCACTGCCACATAATTATAATGTGATTATAATTATGAGCTAATGAACTTGCTTGTATTTTGTAATAAGATATATGTTAAGATGTGTGCTACGTTCAAAATAAACCAATTTCTCAATTGAAGTTCCAATAAACCTGTAATCAACTAATAATTAAAGAAAATAAATTTAAAAAAATACACAAAGAAATCAAAAACTTTCTTAACAATTATATTTATTTATACATAAAATAATTGTTATATTGGTTTACTACACTGCCACAATTCCAATGGATTCTTGTTAGATAATAGTTCTAATTCTTTTTCTGCTTCAGGACTAATGTTCCTGATCCATTTTCGATCTTTGTAGTATTCTATTATTGTTTTAAACTCTTCTCTAGAATAATTTTCAACGCAAACAGGAAGATAGGGATCTAAATATTCAAATCCTTCTTTACCAAGTAAGTATATAGGGTAGTCGGATTCTTTCCTATCCTATAAATGAAAAATATAAGTAATCCATTCCAGTTTTTGATGTTAACAGTTTCACTGTAGATTGTATTTCATCTAGCAATTGTTACGTACTTTGTTTGCTCTTACATCCACTGTTAATATAGCAGCACCATTACACCAATCGTAATTTACAATATTGAAAAATGCTGATGTTATGGATACCCTCGAAGGTGGAACGAATACACGATTTTCATCACGCACTAGCGTGCATTTAGAAGTAAATGCATTAAAACCATCTATAACAACTAGTATTTTACATTTCCCTGCTATGCTAGCTGCTTTAAGTTCATCTATTAATGCAGTGATAACTGCACAAGCAAATCTATTTCTTTCTATTCCAAATTCGATAAGATGAGAAAGGGATTCTCCAGATTTTGTCATTTCTCTTTGCGTCCATACATATTCTTTAGAAACCTTTAACTACAAATTAATTACATTAATTATATGTAGCAGGAAAGTAAATCTGATTCGTTACTTACATCATATTGTGATAATGATAATTCGTTTAATTGTTTAAAATATCTCAACCATAATGCTGCTTCTTCAGGTAGATCTAGCTGATCTGGATTCGTGGTAGATTGTACAACTTTTCTCGGAAACCGAAACCAAGTGGCAACTACAAAATACAAATGAAGAATATGTGATGCACTTTATAAAATAATTTACTTTTAAAAATAGTTTATTTTTACCCCATGGTAGATGAAGCATAATAAAGTGTTTTTCAAGACCGTAATGAATCAAATGCATCAATATTGTTGTTTTTCCTACTCCTAATTTACCATCTAAGACATTGTGAAAGTTGCATATAGTACAGTTATAGATTTTATTTACTAGTGATTTAAATGTATAATGCAAACTATAATTAATAGATTTAAAAGGATACATAGAACATATTTATTTATGGGCTTTGTATAATCTGTTTGTTCCAAGTATGACATGAGTTCAATTGCAGGTTTTCTAATTAAAATGCCGAACTCGTTGAAAACTGTTATTTGTTTCTTTAACTCTTTTGACATATCTTGTGTTAGCAAAGTAGTAACAGTCTCAGGTACTGTATAAATTCGATTTAAGTGACTTTTATCATGTTCCGGAGGGTATGATTCCATAACACGAAACGGTGAAATATTTGTGTCTTGTATTTCTTTCGCTGCGGCTGTTATTACAGTTCGTCGTCCGTTTATAATGCACATTCTGCTAAATAATGAATCTGATAAAACAAAAAGACAATTTTACAATCCTAAACATTTGTATGAATGTATGTAATGAATATACAGTAAAGAAAACACATTAAAGCATTTCTATACACAATAAATTACAATTTGTAACTAAATAAACGTACAAGTATAAGACATCATCTTGTTTACATCTAATAACACTAATTGTTTCCTTTTTTCGTCAATATTTCGTTTTTTTCATCAATAACTATAAATTCTTTGATAAACATCTATCGCTAACGCAGATGGGGTTAGCCATATTTATTACTGACTCGAGAATGTACTAATTCAGTAGCATGACTAAAATGTTCCTATAGAACTTAATCATAAGTAGCAATTTTACTACATTTACTTCTTTTAAATAAAATCGACTTATATTTGAATTAAAGTGCAAGAAATAGTATATAAATGAATAAAACCTTATCGTGTTTTTTTATAATGATATTTTAGAAATCTAATTCTAGGGAAATGTCAGAAATAATCAGAAGTAGATTGTCAGACCTGTTAACAAATCCACATATATGTACAAATACAAAATAATAACTCTAGCGAGTTCTATAATATAAATATATACAGAGTAAAAGAAAAATGAATTTAGAATTATTAGGTAAGACAGAGTCATTTGGTCAAAATTACCCAGAGGTAAGGTATATGTTGTGAATATCTCATACATTTATTTGAAACCTTGTAAAAATAATATTTATAATTATTAGGAGTTTGATGGCACGTTGGACTGTATATCATTAGCAGTTACTTGCACATTTAATAAAAGGGGAACTCTTCTTGCTGTTGGATGTAACGATGGTAGAATTGTTATATGGGATTTTTTAACTCGTGGTGTTGCAAAAATTATCAGTGCACATGTTCATCCTGTATGCTCATTGAGGTAAGTTATTTGACATAATTTGCCATCAGTATACTTTAATTATTTCATATCATCATTTTTATTACATAGCTGGTCTAGAAATGGACATAAATTATTAAGTGCCTCTACAGATAACAATGTTTGCATATGGGATGTTCTATCTGGAGAATGTGATCAAAAATATAGATTTCCTTCCCCCATATTAAAAGTCCAATTTCATCCAAGAAATCTTAATAAATTTTTAGTATGTCCAATGAGGCATGCAGCTGTAATGGTTGATGTTGAGGGTACACATAGAGTTATACCTCTTGATGACGATGTACGTAATAAATTTAATACTACTGCTTTGTGTTTTTAATATCTACATTTAATGCCTTTTTATTTTAGAGTGATTTAAATATAGTGGCATCTTTTGATCGTCGAGGAGATTATGTGTATACTGGAAATGCTCGTGGTAGAATTTTAGTTCTTGATGCAGAGTCATTGATTGTAAAAGCTTCTTATAAAATATCACAAGGCACAGCTAGTAATACAGCTGTAAAGAGTATTGAATTTGCTAGACGTGGTTCTTGTTTTCTAGTGAATACATCAGACAGGGTGATTCGTGTGTATGATAGTACTGAAGTATTGGCTTGTGGAAAAGATGGTGAACCTGAGCCAATACAAAAGTTACAAGATCTTGTAAATAAGACTATGTGGAAAAAATGTTGTTTTTCTGGAGATGGAGAATATGTATGTGCTGGATCTGCGAGACAACATGCTTTGTATGTATGGGAAAAAAGTATTGGAAACTTAGTAAAAATTTTACATGGAACTAAAGGAGAACTATTGCTGGATGTAGTTGTAAGTAGTTAACCATATGATTCAATAGAATAATTTCCAAAGTTATGAGAAAGCTATAATTTCACAAATTTGTATTAATGCAGTGGCATCCAGTGAGACCAATTATTGCTTCTATATCATCTGGTGTTGTTTCTATTTGGGCACAAAATCAAGTTGAAAATTGGTCTGCATTTGCTCCAGATTTTAAAGAATTAGATGAAAATGTTGAATATGAAGAAAGGGAAAGTGAATTTGACTTGAGTGATGAAGATAAATCTGTGGTACAAGGTGAAGAGGCCCAGGATGAAGAAATAGAAGTAGATGTTGCATCTATAGATAGAGTAGCTGCGTTTTGTAGTTCTGATGAAGAAATGGAAGATGTAGGTTCATTGCAGTTTTTACCAATATCACCAGATGTAGAAGATTCAGAAGATAATCAAACAACAACGCATGAACCACCTGTAAAAAAACACCGTTCTCATGATATTCACTTACAAGGAGCACCAGTAGATGGTAAAGTCATTCATATATGCCGATATAAGCGATGGATTTGTTTGTCATTAATATTTTTATTTTCAGAAACTCATCCATTATTGAATAAAGGTAAAGACAAACCAACAACTAAAAAGGGAAGACCGAGATTGGAACATAGGAAAGGGAAATAATTTAAAGTATATTGTTTATTTACTTTAGTATAATAGAGTATTTTATAATGTACAGAATGACTAAAAGTATTTTAAATATATTATCAACTGGGATAATATTTTACAGTTACAATGTATACTATAAAATTTATTACTTCCTATGGAATGTACCTAACATATTGTTCAATCTTACATGTTTTTATATTGAAAATCTATCCTACAATCTTAAAAATGTACTATGTATGTTAAAATAGATAAAACATTCGTTTTTATTTTACTTGTACTTATTAAATAAAAAATTGAATTTGACATTTATTTAAATGTCTTTCAGAGTTACTTACGTTTTATATACAAAGGTTTACTAATTTTTTGCTATAATTTGATTAGATCTATAGAGTAATCACATATCTTATACCTTATTCGAATAAGCTGAAATGCACTTAACCTGCATTTTGTTACCGAATTATTTTAAAGAAAAATGAATTCATTGATAAATGGCTTATCTTATCTTGTGTAGCAATTTCTGAAAGAGTAATTAAATTGCGCAGTGTTTGGGTTAACTTACGGCTACGAGTATATTAGATATTTACAATGTTAGTTGCGAGGTTATTGGAACAAATTAACAAGAAATTGTTTCATGTTCAGAAAAAGACAACGAGAGGTGTACAGTCCGCTAGAGATGTAATTTTAAGTGGCGGAATTATTATTGTTAGTGGAATACTCATTGTTTGGTTATCTGTATTTCTTTATACGGCATTTTACTATGCCTACGTACCGAGTATATCATACGTACGACCTGTGCATCTACAATTCAAGTGAGCTTCACTTCTCACTTGTATATTAATTGTGTAAAAAAAAAATCGACGTATCCTGAAACATGCTGTTTTTAGTTTCATTTTCTCTTGTATTATTGTATATTTTTCATGTATAAAGCTTGATTATACAGTCCTTTCTGATTATAGGTCATGTAGCGAACAAAAAGGAATTTGTAACTTTCCATCAGCATTTGTACAATTAACAAACAAACAAGAGCTTTTAATGGTTGGGCAGCCATATAAAGTCAATTTGCATTTAGAAATGCCAGAATCTCCAGCCAATAAAGAGCTTGGTAAGTTTTGTTTCTCTTTTGAAGAAAATGAAATAATATGTAATAACTATAGCTGTTACATAGGTATGTTCATGGTTTGTGCTGAGTTACGCAGTAGAGATGGTTCCCTCATGGAACATGCATGTAGATCTACCATGCTACATTATCGTAGTACATTATTACATGCACTTACAACTCTTACCTTTTCACCTATGATGATTTTTGGTAGTACAGAAGAAAAGCAAAATGTAGTCCTCGAATTATTCGGTAATTTTGAAGAAGACCAAAATCATCCAGTGACAATTGTTTATATTGAAATACAATCAAAACATATTGAATTCTATTCTGCAAATATTATGATAAATGCACATTTATCTGGTCTTCGTTATTTCATGTTTTATTGGCCAATTTTATCTGCTATTGTTGGTATTGGTACAAATTTGTTTTTTTGCAGATACTGGAGATGATAATTTTAGTTATGAAGAAGAAAAAAAAATTGAAGAAACACAGGAATGCAAAAAAGAAGTAGGTACAGAAGAAGGAAAAACATATAAAGATGCACAAGACCGTAAGTAAAGTTTTTCTCTTCCTTACTAATAAAGTATTACACTGAATTATCATTAAGCTAACTTATTTTTTAAAGAATCATCAGATTCATCATCGTTAGAAGATTTGGTTGAATCTGAAGAAGAATCTCATTCTCCTCATATTGAATTGATAAAGTAATTTATATTCCATAACATGAAACACTTTGGAACTGATCATATAAAAATATGTAGAAATGTAATTTATAGTTTTAAGTGAGTAAATAGATACTGTAAAAATATTTATTTTTCTATTTTTGAATGTTTTATTCATTTCTTTTACTGTAAGATAAATGTATTAAAAGAAATACATACGAATAATTTGTTTGTTTAAAAATATGTACAAAGATTTTTACATTCCTCTGAACATAATTTATTTACATATTCAATCTGTTTCTATCTACTTCAGTCTACTATTGTCCATTTTGTAAAAAAAATTGGCTGAAGTATAGTATCCGGACTGCAAAATATTCGGCTAGAATGAAACTTTTTAGGGATTTTTAAAGTTGTTGAAGCTGAAAATGAAGGTCGTTTTTCACGGAAATAAGGCATTCGGAAGATCCAAGTCCCTATATATAATAGATGTTCACTTCTAGTAGACACACTGTTCAGCAATTAGTATAACAATGTATGTATGAATGTGGTATGTGTCTGAAGGATAAATATATGTACGTATATATTAAGCCCAAAAAGCGCAATGAGCGAAAAAAAGCCAGCTCTTTTTAAAGAGGAGTATGGGTATTGGTATAAGTTAGATAAATCCCCGGCCGGCACTTGTCATCATAGGAAACTAAAGCTAGCAAAAATTTTTGTATTTTTAATGGTTTGATTAGCACATCTGAGTTAGGTTGTAGATTTTTTAATGTCGGACTTCGACAAAGTACATAACAATGCTCCCAAAACCGAACCCGACGGTCAAATGTCCATAAGGCCAAACTTTTAAAACCGTTCATTTTAAAAAATTTTGCAGTTCGGATATTATACTATATTCAAAAAATTTGTGAAAGTATCTGTTACTTACTATTATATACACGAATAAATTAAATAAACAAAATTGCAATAAAAATACCACGAATCTTAATTTGCAGATGATTTTAATAATTGCATTATTTTTATTCGTAGATCAATTCGAAATGCATCGGAATAATTAGCCCTTGCCTTGCTTTAGCGTTTGAAGTTTGAAAACGTTTTTTCAGCTCGCTTGCATGCTTATTAACAAGTTGAAAGAGTACGTACTCTGATTCAGTACTTTGTCAGAATGTGGATTTTTGAGAGACCGACTATCGTTTTATGGAAAGAAATCGGAACTTACTCGTTGTTATTAGAATAAATGCTTTTTCTTACTCTGCTGTACTTTTTATTCGGTGATCGATCAAGGTAACATCAGAACATAATTGGGAACAGTTACTAGTTTTCTGTTTTAACTAGCATAATTTTGCATACGGGAAATGCACGAGCAATCAATTTTAGTTTATGCCATATTTAAAATCTAGTTTTTTTCGCGGTTTCATTTATAGTGCCATCTTTCAAAACAAAAGGAAGTTGAAGTCGTTACGAGACTTTTTCGAAGATATTCGCATGAACGTTATTAATTTCTACGTTTTACTCGATAATCGTATAGGAATAATAATCACAGCGCAGTAAAGGCACGTACAGGAGCTACTGTAACTTGATTTCACACGAGTAGGAAAGCAACGGGTGAGCAGTTTGTAAAACCTCATTCCCTCGTAATATATGTAGCTAACTCTCGAATGCTTTCGGTATTTCATGCTAGAGCAATGTTACGAAAATGTGGTTTGAATATATAGTGTGAGTCGACACGTTGAAAGGGAAAAAGTGAAGTCGTACGAAAAGAATCGGTGCGTGTGTCGGTGGGTAAAAAGAGATGAAAGGGCTGAATGCATGTTACGCATTAGTAAGGCGCAAGCGGCGTACACACGTAGCATCAATACTACAGAACCGGTTTTCTGCGTTATCCACACTTCGTGCAACCCGGTGTGTTAAAAAGGAGAGCTTAAGGGAACAGCACGAATTCGTGAGGTCGCCTTGTTTCTCTTAAGTCTCGTTACTCGAGATTCAGACAGGTGTGGGAGATTCTGTTCGTTTTCTCTGTCTTTTCTTCCTCTCTTTCAAATCTCTTACTTAAAGACTTTTGACTTACTTTAACCTCTATTTCTTAACCCACGTACGCGAATAATTCGTTGACACGAAAATAAAAGGATTTCAAAAACACTGCGAAAATCCACAATGTTTATTTTATTTCAAGCTTGTTCGATGCATTTTACAGATGAAATCTTCATCAGACTTTCATCGAAGCAGATAGAATGTTTACCATTACTAATAGCACGTCGCTCAGACATACACGTTGTTCCCTCCAAACAGAACGAACTGTTACGACATCCTTTCACTATTGGTAAGTCGATAAATTTTAAACACATTCAAGTATTGTGTTCAATCTAATTGGATTAAAAAACGACAACGTTTCTTTTCTTCAACAAACTGTCCAGATGTACTGTTCTCTAATGATTTTGGCCGGTATATTTTTACGCATTTCGTTATATCGTTTCTTTTTCCCTCGTTTACCACATGTAGTTACAATGTTTCGTAGTACATAAATGTTGCTCGATGGAGGGACATTTCGGAGCTGTTCCAAGCCGATGATAATTCGATTTTCATTCCGGCACGCCAGGCCATTCTAGCCTGGCGCAGCGCGGCGACCAGGAGGGACGGTTCGAGTAGCTTGAGGTATCATAAAACAGTTCAACGACATTTCTCGCAGCTACTATTTTACCTCTAACCGCAAAAATTCCACGGAGAACCACAGATACAACACGAGCATAGAGAGATGGTTAGAAGAAACCTATTATAATCAGGTACCACGTCGTTGATTCGCTTCCATCTCCTCCCCACCTTCTCCGTTCCTTTACACTGTACCTCTTGTTTTTGCATATCACTTTTCATTATTATTAACCCGTTTTAAGCGAGGTTGTTAAATCATGCTGGTGAAACATTTCGATATGGATAAAATAATTAGCAGTCGTTAATTCGATACCGTGCCCGTAACACGTTTTAATTGTGGCAGACGGCGGCGAAAGTTATGTCAGCCGGAACCCCGGCGGGCATCCGATTTCAGGGGCGATAAAGCTTGGCTGCCCGTGAAAACAGGAATGATAATGAGAATTATCATTTTTATCCCCATTATAGGTGTCTAACTTTGGAACGATTTAGCGATTAACCCACGCCACGAAAGTGTTTGTACCATTTGTCGTTATTCTCTTCCTCCCTCTCTCTATCTCACGCGCTCTTTATCTCTCTCTATCTCTCTCGCTCTCTCTATCTCTCTCGCTCTCTCTATCTCCCTCTCCCTCGCTATCTCACGCTCTATCTCACGCGCTCTTTATTTCTCTCTCTCTCTCCCTCTCTCTCTTTCTCTCTCCCTCTCTCTCTTTCTCTCTCCCTCTCTCTCTTTCTCTCTCCCTCTCTCCATTTCTCTCTCCCTCTCTCTTTCTCTCTCCCTCTCTCTTTCACTCTCCCCCTCTCTTTCTCTCCCCCTCTCCCCCTCTTTTTCCCCTCTCCCTCTCTCTTTCTCCCCCTCTCCTTCTCCCCTCTCTCTTTCTCTCCCCCTCTCTTTCTCTCCCCTCTCTTTCTCCCCCTCTCTTCTCTCCCCCTCTCTCTTTCTCTCTCTCCCTCTCTCTTTCTCCCTCTCTCTTTCTCTCTCTCCCTCTCTCTTTCTCTCTCCCCCTCTCTTTCTCTCTCCCTCTCTTTCTCTCATGCTCTCATGCTCTGTCTCACGCGCTCTCTACCTATGGCGCGCATCTTTTGCCCATTGCGTTCCTCTGGGACGGGTCTCGTTTCAGAGGTGCAAAATTTTCATTCGTCTCTTTCTCTCTCTCCCTCTCTTTCTCTCTCCCTCTCTCTCCCTCTGTTTCTCTCATGCTCTCATGCTCTGTCTCACGCGCTCTCTACCTCTGGCGCCCATCTTTTGCCCATTGCGTTCCTCTGGGACGGGTCTCGTTTCAGAGGTGCAAAATTTTCATTCGCGGATAATTTTCATTCCACAGTGAACTAATCAATGGGCGACAGTCGGAGCCGTTATCGTCCCTCATTTATTTGCGCGGGGAATATCGAATTTCCTCTAAAACGTCGATACCAATGAATCCACTTTTAATCGCGCTCCTCGCGATCCATACAAAATTCATAACAAATGAGTCGATATTTAAAGGGCGGTTAAACGTGTTCATGCAGCGGCACGATGGTAATCAGGGACCAAATCAAATTTACCTGCCCTGTAACCGTACGAAACACAAGCGCGAATTATTGTCCCCGTGAACCTCTCTAAGAACTTAATTCCACCGAACTTTACGTTAATGTTCTCAACGTTTTCTTAGAACACGAGACCTTTCGGAGATCGTTAGCCAGTGGTTCGGTCTCAGACCAGCTGAACCGTATCCTATCACAGCGTTTTATAACCCTTTTTTTTTTATCTCACGCATAAATTAATTACTAAATTTCTACGGCACAGCGAAAAATATTGGGTTATCCGGAAAGTTCTAAGCGATATTTAAACCATCGTATCTCTCTTTCTAATTGGCACAGTAACAAAAGTTAAACGGTATTTTGCTCGACAGTTAAAGGTGAATCCAACGCACTGCTCAAATTATTCGTAAGACGAGCAGGGATGGATATAAGTCGAACTATGTGTGTTCTCTGCAGTGGAGCGAGGATGTTGAATTTTTCGTGGCAACGTTCCACCGCAGAAAATATAGTTCGCTTTAGGAGTAATTTTAGGGGCACGTCGGATGTATCTTCAAATAACGAGTAAAATACCTTTCGGTTTTTGTCGCTATCTCAATTCAGGAGTAATTTTAGGAGCACGTCGGATGTATCTTCAAATAACGAGTAAAATACCTTTCGGTTTTTGTCGCTATCTCAATTAGAAGCAGAGATACGTCACTTTGAATTCTTCCGACATTTCGCTACGAACTTTCCAAACCACCCGGTATGTACTTCCCCATTCACCTTATGAATAATTCGAGGAGTGCGTTGGGTTCGTCTTCAAATAACGAGTAAAATACCTTTTGGTTTTTGTCGCTATCTCGATTAGAAATGGAGATACGCCAGTTTGAATTTCTCTTACATTTC